GGGATTGGGATCTGGACTGGGATCCATCATCAGGATTGGGATCGGGATTGGGATCGGGATCTGGATCCAGATCGGGATTGGGATCAGGATTGGGATCCATCATCAGGATTGGGATCAGGATCGGGATTGGGATCCATCATCGGGATATTCTGGATCCATCGGGGCCTTTGGGATCCATCGGAACATTCGGGATCCATCCCATTCCCAGTATCCTGACCCAATCCTGATATCTCAATATCCCAACCCATTCCCACCATCCCCATTCCCATTCCCATCCCATTCCCATTCCCATTCCCATTCCCATCCCATTCCCATCCCATTCCCATTCCCATTCCCATTCCCATCCCATTCCCATTCCCATTCCCATTCCCATTCCCATTCCCATTCCCATCCCATTCCCATTCCCATTCCCATCCCATCCCATTCCCATTCCCACCATTCCCATTCCCATTCCCATTCCCATTCCCACCATTCCCATCCCATTCCCATCCCATTCCCATTCCCATTCCCTTTCCCATTCCCTTTCCCATTCCCATCCCATTCCCGTTCCCATTCCCATCCCATTCCCACCATCCCCATTCCCATTCCCATTCCCATTCCCATTCCCGTTCCCATTCCCTTTCCCATTCCCATTCCCATTCCCATTCCCATTCCCATTCCCGTTCCCATCCCATTCCCACCATTCCCATTCCCATTCCCATTCCCGTTCCCATCCCGTTCCCGTCTCTCCGGCGGCAGGAGCAGCGGGATCTGCGGGAGCGCCTGGAGCTGGGCCAGGCCGAGCTGCGGCGGCTCCGCGAGGCCGAGGGGACCCGGGCGGCCCAGCAGGAGCGGTGAGAATCCCGGGAAAAACGGGAATGCCGGGAAAAACGGGAATGCCGGGGAAAACGGGAATCCTGGGAAAAACGGGAATGCCGGGAAAAACGGGAATGCCGGGAAAAACGGGAATGCCGGGGAAAATGGGAATGCTGGGGAAAATGGGAATGTTGGGGAAAACGGGAATGTTGGGGAAAACGGGAATGCTGGGAAAATGGGAATGCTGGGAAAATGGGAATGCTGGGAAAATGGGAATGTCGGGAAAAATGGGAATGCCGGGAAAAACGGGAATGCTGGGGAAAATGGGAATGCTGGGGAAAATGGGAATGCCGGGGAAAAACGGGAATGCTGGGAAAATGGGAATGCT